GGCACAGTGGAACAAATTGTGCGTGAGGATTAATACGCACGCCTGGAACATGCCGAAGTCCTCCTGGATCCTCAGGATTTCCTGGTATCCTGATAACGTTGACATTTCACCGATTTGTCTTGCCTTGGTCGCTCTTCTTCATAAGCCCTTTTACGTTATTCAACCCGGGAAATATTAAGGAATGCCGAGGCTGTTTGCTTCAGGTCATTCTCCTCACTTACGGTTACTAATAACCACTGAGAACCTTGAACCTACTATGGTTTCCTGGTTCGACGTTGTTGAGCTGTCATACAGAAAAAAAAACGTATCAACTTTTCTTCACTTCTTTCAATGTTCCTGAAGCCCTGCCCACCACCTTGGGATCTCAGTAGAGATACCACAATGATGAAGGAGTAGGCATGGTTTTCATGGCGAGGGCGTGAAGACCCCCAGGAAGCAGCACGTGGAGGCGGTGCCATAGGAAACGCCTAGACCCTGAATTATACAAAATAGTCCACTCGCCTAACCGTATTGTCTTCTTAATTAATATGACTAAATCTATAACATTTAATTACTGGACCAAGAGACTAACACGCCATAATTGTATACTTTACTTAAAATTTGAAGGGAAAATAGAAAGCCTACGGTTGCAATGGGGTGCCGAGACGATGCTGAGATCCTGACATGACTTTCTAGTTGTGGGTTTCTAACATAACAAAAAAAAAACAAAGAGATCATAAGAATCGTATCGGTAGTCATTGTGAATTTACTATAGTATACAAGTGACAGAGCCTGCACAGGAGAATCATGACTTAAAACTGACAATGTTCATTTCATTGTAATCTCCAAGTCGCTGACCTACCTCACTACAGACCTAATGCTATTAATCAAATTTCCTAGAGCCTTCAATTATTGATCTAAAGTGGGTCCACTGACCCGTGTTATAATATGAATATACATAAAGCGGATAGTACCCGTAACAATGTTGTCAGAAAGGGCCAATCAGAGACGAGAAAAATTAAAAGGGTTCTTGTTGGCAGAATAGTACCCAGTCCTACACCCTCCATCACGAGATGATCGCCTAGTTGGTCTTGGCCTAACGTCAATTAATATTCATGACTCTTTAGAAAAAGAAGTTCGTAGGCACGTGGCGAGTTCAGCCAAACGGAGAAATGACCGAACAAAGGGGCCGGAGGGAGGAGGGGAGCGACTACCCTGCAGCTGGTTTAAAGATAAACGAGCAAAGCAGGAAACCATGAAAGGGCAAGAAGGGCTTTATCTTCCTGGACAAGTACTCCGAATTCCGGCTGAGTATCGGCCCGTCACAAAGGGTCCAGATTTCATATCTCCATTGTCTGTTCGTTTGACCTCAAGTGGGTTCAACCCTTAAGGGCGTACGCCTACGCACTTTGAACAGGGTACCATGAGGAAGGGAGTGGTAAAACTACGGGATGCCCTTCGTCATTGTAAAACCCTTCGATGATACCCTACCCCCATGATTTTTATGGTCACAATAAACTGGATTCACGACCCTATACGTTACAACCCTTGGAAACCTCTGCACGTGGAATCCAGGCTCTGTTGCTAAGGGCTCAGGGTAGTGAAAGTCAAATCGGCGAGAAGGTCTAACAGGACTACATGACTTGTATGGTAGATTTTCAAGATTGGTTTTCTCAAACCATATTATCCAAACGTATTCGTTGATAAGCCCGTATTACGAAAGCATTTGAATGATAGTGCTAAAACAAAACCAGGTCACGATTTTCTCCTACCAAAAGAAATGGATAAAGCCAACAACCGTGTGTTTCAAATTGAAATTCATGTAAAAATTTTTGAAAATTTTTGAAAATTTTTGAAAAAAAAAAATTCCAAACATTTTACCGACTCTATATTTTTCATGTTCGATATAAATGATCGAAGAATTTATTATCGTTTATTATTGTCAGTTCAAAGTTAAAGTGAAACAAAAGCCCATTAGCTTCTATTAATTCCTATTTGGCGCTTCTAGTCGCCCATGTTTAAGTTTCGAAGTTTTTACAATTACAATGGCATTCGGACCCAGATAACCTACATTCACCAATATTGTTATTACCTGTGTCTAGGATATACTCTCCTAATCGATGTCACCGAGTGGTTTCCCCTTTTCAGCCGTGTCTTGACCCGGTTAACGTTCCGGTAACGAAATGCAAGCATCGTAGCCGCGCCAGTGCGCATGCGCGGCCAATGATCGTAGATGGCCGACGCATCGAAGACAACGAGAGGCACGCACGATTCTCCGGGACTTCGTTAAAAGGGCTCCGCTCACAGGAAGGTAGAAGAGACTGTTAGTATTTTAGGGACAGTTGGGAGTTGGTCGTGTTGCGCTGTAAACCGCAGCGGCCCTAAGCATACGACATAGGGTGATGGCGTAACGCATCGTTTCACTTCGAGATAGCAGCCGTGACCCGAAAACCATTCTGTCCACTAAACCAACTGCGTATAGACACTAGAGCCACATAGCCTTACCTTGCTATTCATAGTGCACAGGGAATGGCTTAAACATCGAACGGTAGAAAAAGCTCGATTCCAGGTAATAACGCGTGGACAAGAAAAAATTAGCAAAATACACTAAACAATTTGTGCAACATAACCTCGTCAAAAAATTCATTTGAAATTCCATGGCGTCTACGAAAAATATCTCCGAACGATCGTAACGGTGAATTCATCGAAATTTATTGTAACGAAAATATTTTTTTTCTTACCAGAATAAAATTTTTTTAATCGGCTCACCCTGTATATACAACATGGAAAAAGCTAAGCAAACTTTGTATGTACTACCTATTGATAGTTGACACGCACACCGGGTACGTTTCACGCGTCTCATGTTCTCCTGATGAAAAAATCAAGTTTGTTTTGTAGCTAAAGATTTTTCTTCTCCTCTAACTTTACGTATTAATGACGGAAACGCGATGCCGGGTATTTTGACTTCGGACAGAGAAGATGCTGCTCCTAGTGCCGGATGGACCTGGATCTTCTACAATTATAAAGATTCTTGGACTGGGTAAAGGGTTTAGAGTCAAGGCGCACACGTGTCGTTCGGATGATCAGGAATTCATGTACACAGGGGATGTAGAGGATATGACGTATCTACAGGGAAGAAGAGGCTATCTTGACGTACATACCACGGGGCTGGATTACCCACGTGGCTCCATTCAGTAAAATTCTGAGACCAACACTGAATGGTATCAAATGTTATTGTCCAAAGTTGTATTTACTACAATGACTGTACTACCGACATTTATTCTCTTGAACTAAGGTTGAATCTCGAGAGGATGACGTGGCTCGAGATAGAGCGTGCCATCAGGTTGAGGAGGACATGAAAACAGTTTGTTATTTACCTCAAGAAAGTGCTTGCCAGCTTTTTCACACCCAGATAAAAAAACCCGGTACAATACTCCATTTCATCTTTACCACTATCAATCACAAGCGTCTGCTGTATCACGTCGTAAAATAGTACACAGTTCATTCGACAAGAGGATACCCGTGTATTACTCCGATATATGAAAAATGTTAGATCCGGAAAAAAAAACATTGAGAATCAAGTCTGACCCTATAAGTTGGTTATTTCTATATATACATTCAGAGAACAGAGACCTCTCTAATCTCCTTTTAACAATTTCGAGCAGATAACCAAAGTACGTACTACTATCTAGGATGACTAAACATTTAAAAGGTCGAAAAACAGTATTCCGCCGATAAGCTTCGTTCCCCCACGAAGACCCACACGATGAATTACAATAAATCTCTATGTCCGTAATTGCGTCCTAGTTTCCAGAATGTTCTATACGTTGATCCGTGTATCTCGTTGCATGGAAAGAAATATAAACACGTGGAGACTCATATAAGAGACGTATATAGATATATCCCAACTGTACGTATAGCCAGTGTGCCACGAATATGCATGTAAATGAATGGGGATTTGATAGGGCAACGTAGCAGGATAACAGGGGATGCCAGGAGGATTCAAGGGTCTTGCTGGCCCCTTAGAACTGAATAGTCCCCCCCCCTGCCCCCCCCTGAAATTCATCCACTTCATATCCCATATACATTACTCAGCGATGCTGCAGAGCCTCCCGCCCGGTTACCTTCTTACTACCGAAACCCCCATAAGCCTTCAGTGTCAAAACGTACAAGAAACTGTTTTCATGGTGGTTAATGAATACACGTGTTCCACCACGTGGCAACCACAAAACAACACAACTACGATCGCGTTACCAAGCCACCATGAGATCCGAGGAGATTGACACGGGGTGGTCCAGCCGTTTGGAATTTCGCAACATCCCTTGGCAAATCCCAGAGAAATCTTAGGGGTGCAATGTAATAGGAAGTTATAGCGTCGACGGAGCCGAATCGCGAGGGGTTGCCGAAATTCCTGAGGGATGCTAAGGCCATTTACGTTACACGGGAACCACCCCACGTTTACTATGGGGTTCCTCCATTGTCACCCTACTCCAACTTATCCCCATCAGATCGACCCTCCCATGTGCCACCGGGCTCGACTCGCCACGTGGATCCGCCTTTTGTCCTTTTCAAGGGGAACATTAATTTATTTTTCCCCGTGCATCCTACGCCTATGCCAAACGTTACACCGGGACTGTAATCCATCGCTACTCGCGGACTTGCAATTCCCGTTTGTACGATTCGCTAAGACTCATACACTCCCGACCCGGACTCAGTGCCTGACTAAATAACAATTTTGCCGTTCGCGGACTTTAGCCGAGAACAGAACCGGAATATCGAAGGAGCACTATATACATGTATCCTGTACTGTAATCCATCGCTGCCCGCGGACTTGCAATTCCCGTTTGTACGATTCGCTAAGACTCATCCACTCCCGACCCGGACTCAGTGCCTGACTAAATAAAAATTTTGCCGTTCGCGGACTTTAGCCGAGAACAGAACCAGAATATCGAAGGAGCACTGTACACGTTGCGTTAAAAAATGAATGAAATTCCTTATTGTATATGTAGCCCATTATCCACCAGAGAATTACAGCCGAGGACGCAGGTGCAGTCGCAGATGCTGCAGCTTGTCCAATTACTGACTCAGACGTTGTAATTGCTCTGAAGTTATCTCCCCGACACTTTTCCAAGAAACGCTCCGGGTCCTCCGATTTCGTTCGGGGAATAGACGGTCCTGCGAAAAAAAAAGAAAAGTTGTAGCTGTAAAAAGAAACTACGTGGAACATTAACGGCGCCTTTGTAGTCGCTCGGCCACGTTTTGTCGACGTTGTCATTGGAAATAATAAATTATTAACGAAACTCGACGCGTCCCTCCCTTTCGACGTCTCCTCGTCTGCGTCTTCGGTCTCTTCCCCGGCAAAGAGACTTTTATCTCGTCTTCCACACGTATGCGGGGAAGGCAACGATGCCAACGGGGAGGAGCGTGACACGTGACCTGCGCTCCGTACGACTTACGCGTTCGCTTGAGAATTTTGAATTAGTCTACCGACGGATGTCGCACCGTGAATACGTCGCCTTTACGTTATTCAATTCAACGAGCGAACGTTTATTTAGGCCGCCCCGTAAATACACACTCGTAGGTCAAGGCTAACGGAAACATTGACTGACGCCGCGATTGAATATTGTGAAAATGTAGATTGACAGTCGACCGCGTTCGCTGTTATACTAGTGAACGGATATAGATTCAAGTTTTCTTGTAAGCTTCGTTGAAGTCTGTTAGTAAATTAATGAACTTGTCGCCAAGCGAGAGACAATCGTGCGACTGGCTTTGGTATTATATACCGGAGACACGGAGAGCAGTGCTGTGAGAGACTGAAGCTCTTAGTGAAAATTTTACTTTCTAAGAGACGAGATTGTTACTTAAATTAATTATATATAATCATTGACAATGTTCCTTAACGAAACGCTACTTATGCTTATGTACACTACCAATATAATGGCCACTCTGAAGAACGATACCAGCAGTAACGTCTCCAAGGGTAACACTGGCCAATACAATTTGACTATGCTACCGCCGGATGAGAAAGACAAAAAGTTCAGCGCGAAAGACGGTACGGATATTCCTATGGTTTATTACTCTTATAAGATATCCACGTAGAAACAGGAAGCGCGTAGACACTCGTTTTACGATTTGCGGCCGGTTGCAATCGTCAATGATAAATTTCAGAGACATAACAACGACTCCTCTTGTTCTTGTTATTCGTTGAAGTTTTACAAATCTGCAGTCCGCTATCGCTGTTATCGTAACACGGGCGTACCGATAACCCCGCTGGAACAGTCGCTTGTGTATTTTCTAAATGCCGGTCAATGGTAAATACGTACGTAAGTGCACTGGCCTGCACAGGAGTGCGTTGCGAAAATAGATTAGGCACTGAAACTATGCGGAGACTCTTGCGCACGGACGCGGAGACTGGCTGGCTGGTCTCTGTGTGTAGATTCATTGAAAATCTCATGATTTAGCTTTGTGGTTGCTTATGATTTATTGGAATTGCGGAATTTTATGATCTGGACGGATTCGTTATCTCAGGTCACGACTCTGCTGGCCTTGATAAGGTGCAGCCGTTGTGTGACCTTGGTCGCTTCTTTTTTTTTTCAAACTTCTATCGTGCGTCTTTCGGTCGTCAAGGTGATGGACTTTTCGAAGAGAGGAACTTCAACCTAAAAAATAGGATTATGATGAATCTGCTGGGGAATGTTTTTTGAATTTTTGCGATAGACGTTTTTTTTTTTAATTTGAATTTTTTGAAAAATTGATCACGTTGTATAAGTCGCCTGCAGTATGAGGAAACGTTAGGTTAGAACGCAAGGCCATGTCTCGTTAATCAGGAGTTTTCGTAATTTGGTATTTATAAAGATTAAATAATTTTATAAGACCAAAAAAATAATTAAAAACTTATTACTCAAGTCAATAAACGACACTCGTACACAGTATTAATTGTAGCTCGTCATACTTACTTTTTGGACCGTTAGGTTGTCACACATTGCGAGATCGACGATTTCATTGATCTATAACTTTTGAACCACTGTGTATTTTTAAGTTCGATTATAGTAAAATCAATACGGCAGACTGGCAATAATGAACTATGGTTGAGCAGTAAAAATAATTTGTTCAAAAGTTATAAAATTTACAAAAAAAAAAAAACCTGTCACGAAGACCAGGTGAAAATGCACTTTTCCCCGGGTCCGCCGGACCAGGTATGACGAGCTAGGGTTAAAATTAATTAAAGTGTCTAAATGAGTTATTTTTATTTTTTTTTTTAGATGGGGAAATTTGGCGATGTTACCAACCTTACGGATGTTTCTTCATCGGTCCACCGTGGTCAGAAGAGAACAGACCAGTTTTATTTCCGGATCGGCCGGACAGTATTCACCCGCGCTACGTTCTCTATACTCGGAATCACACTGAGAGTTCTGATATCGTGGAAATAGATCAATTCGACATAATACACCAGTCAAACTTCCGGAAGCATAAGACCCTCTACTTCATTATACACGGTTATCTCGACAACGGGGACAAGACGTGGGTTCTTGTGAGTTGATTAAAAAAATTCATGACTCGTTAAGGAAGCATATAATTGAACCACCGTCACTGATTAATTAATCTATCTTTTGTTAAACTAACCTTAGAGAACAATGCGGGAACTTTTGATTCGAGACGATGCCAACGTCCTCATTGTCAATTGGATCGGTGGCGCTGGACCACCATATACGCAGGCTGTGGCGAACACACGATTGGTCGGCGCCATGACAGCCCGACTAGCAGCCAAATTAATAGAAACTGGTGAAGTTCAAGCGCACAAGATACATTGCATAGGGCATAGCCTTGGTGCTCATACGTGTGGCTACACTGGGCATACCCTGAAGACCTCCTATGGTTACACCATGGGCAGGATTACAGGTGAGAAAACGGGCTGTAGTAACCTGAAAAGATGCAAAGTAACCTCATGAATTCATTGGAAGGTGAAATGACGTAAATGGCTAGAACGAAAAAGTTCATTAGATCAAATAGTAAAAAAGAATAACTTCAACGTCTTTGCATTTCCATTACGATAATGTCGTTTTGACATACGAATGAATCCCAGTGACGCACGTTACTTTCGCATATGTTTATTTGTCTCGGGAACATCGATCTTGGACGTAAATATCCCCCACCGCGGGCAGATCTTCGAGTCGAGTAACTCGACCGGAAGCTCACGAAGCATCACCGTAGACGACCGATCGACTCCCGATCGATTAGGATAGCAGCTACTCGAAGAGAAGTCCTGCGGGAGAAAACGCCTGGTGTCGTATGCTGGAACTAAATACGTCCTTAGCCTGGGTAGTCCTAAGTGTAGGTTGAGGTTAGGGACTATTATAACGGAACTCCGCCCTTGGTACGGTACATCCCTCTCGGGGGAACTTTCTGTGTACATCCTAAAGGTTGTCCATGCCGGAAGGAATTCTAGAACGTATGCGGGACACACCCCTTTGACATTAATGCTCATTGGTCGGAGTGAGTTTACACCAGGGAGTTATATGGTAGGGGGTGCTTTGAGTCCGTATCCTTCATGTTCTACCCACTGGCATTTTTTAATCTAACCTGAAGTGTGGAATACATAGCCTTTCTTTTACATTTGACGCCTTTGACTTACCCCACTATCCTGTCAATGGTGTTCGACCACCATAGCACTAGTGGGGGGTTGTTACGTAAGCTATCGATCTCATCGGGAACGACCAGGATAACAGAGAACGTAAGGGTAGAACCGATACTGAGTTACTGGATAGTCTAACGATAAGCTAGTATCGACTACTTATAGAACTATAGATATAGAAATGGATAGAAATTTTTGATTTTTTGGGATCGGATTCGTTGACTTAACTGTCCTCCTGGTAGAGTGGCTCGTGATCTCGGGTTATTGTGTTGTGTCAGTAATGGACGAGGAATAGGTATGGAAACTCCGCCCTTGGACCCGCCCGAAGACAAGACCGAGGTAAACAGCCGTAGTAAGAGAACACGTCCGAATAAGAAGTGGCAGGACGCATCTTGTGAAAGGATCCAGTGCGTTAGGATGCTGTTGAATCATAAATTGGACAGAAAATAATTTCATAGACCATTGTCATGGATAATAATCTTTTTTGATGGAACAAATTGATTTCCTGTATTATACAATTTTCTATAGAATATACATGTGACCTGTATTTTGCCTGTTAGTTTTAATGACCTTGTTATTTTTATTATGATAATTATCATTTTACTTTCTCTAACAGGTCTCGATCCAGCAGAACCACATTTCAGCAACACTTCACCGATGGTCAGGCTTGACCCATCTGATGCTCATTTTGTCACTGCGATACATACTGATTGCAATCCTTTTATTAGTGGGGGTCTTGGTATTACTCAGCCGGTGGCTCATATTGATTTTTATCCCAATGGTGGTAGAAATCAACCAGGCTGTAACGAAGGTGTATTAAATTCCATTACCTTGGAACGTGGCAGTTTCTTTAAAGGTATTTAGATTATGTCTTAATAAATAATACTATTTTGAGGATTGATTATTATTGAGATATTTTTTTATTTCTTCATTATTACAGGAATCAAGAGGTTCCTTGGCTGCAATCATGTCAGGAGCTACGAATATTTTATTGAAAGTATCAACACAGCCTGTCCCTTCCTGGCTGTTCCTTGTTCCTCCTGGGACCGCTTTCAGCAGGGCCACTGTTTTGATTGCAAAAATCAGTACTGTCCAAGATTTGGTTTCGATGCTCACCCTGGAAATCATCATGCATCTACATACCTAATGACTGGATCACAGAAACCATTTTGCAGTAAGTCTTTTATTATCATTTTTTATTTCTATTGGCATGTTCAGGTCTAATATGATAATTTAATTTTGCAGAGGCCCATTACAGAGTGACTATAAATATATCAAAGACTGATGAAAGCTTGGATCATGGTGGGGAAGTTGGAATGTTCATGATGCGAGTTATAGGAGCCAGTAATAAAAAAACTGAGAGAATAAGCCTAAGCGAGACTTCAAGGT